TGGGCAAAAAGTGCAATTGTCTGGAGGCTTCCTGGGCTTTCCGAACACGAAGCAGTAGGGCCGGGAGGATTGCACGCGAGTCTCAGGACATGCAGACACCAGCCTACCTCCGCAGTGCGGGGGGGGCCCGCTCCACACGCCGTTCTCCCCATCCCAGGTGGTGCAGTAGATGGAGGGCTCTCCGTGGAGCGGGTACCCGGGCTTGCAGCTGTACGTTACAGATGTGCCGAAGAGGAATTCATCCAGCAGCTTGCCCGTGTGCTTCCCGTTGGGAATGTCGGGCGGTGGCTCACAAGGGATACCTGCAGAGGTGCAGAACAAGGCTTCTAAATTCAACAGCAGCACCAAAGTACTTTAAATCCCTCAGTCTGTGGGGCATAAACACTTGTCCTAGAGGTGGAGTAGCCTCAGTGAAGTGACCTTCTAGTTGAGGCCTTGTAGGCAACTGGATCCCATCTCCCTGGTCAGCTATTTCTATGACAGTTAGAAAGCAGACCAGTAAGACAAACCTCTATGGAGGAAGCACCAACATGCTTTACCTTTTCTACTGCTTAAGAAATAAAAAAACAAAGATTTCTTTTGTATCGCTTGTGTAAAATCATGGTTTTTCAGCTGCACACAGTGCAAAGGCACGCACAGGCAGAAATTTGTATGCCACCTTAGGTTAATATGTACCTGGAGAATCTGTAAAATGCTTTAAAATCCCAGAACGTGCCAGTAAATATTTCTTACTTATATGAAACTGTCACCTAATCAGCAAGAGTACTTAATCAGCAGAGCAACACCCAGGTGTAATTGCTGAGGTGCAGCACGGCAGCTCTTTGGGGACACATCAGTTATCCGTGCTCGTAGTGAAAGAGAGAGCCCGTGGTTTGGGACTTTGGGATTCCACTTCTGGCCCTCCCACGGCACTCTGCCTCTTCTTAGGGTTGTGCCTGGTCTCTCGGTGTCCAGCAATAACAACCCTTCCGCTGAAAATAATGCTTTCCCTTCCTCGCTTGTAATGGGCTTGTGAGGTTAGTTGGAGGCAGGATACCTACGTACTGCTGAAAAAGCGCCAGCTGAGGCATTGCTTTCTATAATCCATTAAGCTTTGAGATCTTGTACCTTTTCCCAGAACATTTTCTTGTGACATCAAAACCTTCCGATATTTTTCATGCCCACAGAGCAGAGAAATTCCCCATGAAAGCTGTGATTGGAAAGATTTGGCAATCTCTGCTGGAAAATATTTACCGGATCCATGCAACCCCCCCAGCGCTGTAAGCTACTTACGCTGACAAGTGGGAATGTCACCGCTCCATGCGACACGTGCACCAGAAATCTCACATCGTCTGCTGGGTTGTCCAATTAACCTGTGCCTGGTGTTAAAAGGATTGAACGTTCATCCCAAGTCATTTCAGCGTAAGTTACTACCTCCTCCTCAGCACCCTAGAAGGTGTGATCAGCCCCACTGACCGCAAAGCTGTGGCCCTGAAGGAGGCGTTCCCCTCCTTGCTCAGCACCACCTTACCAATGTCACAGTATATACATGTATATATAAGACAGGGAACACCTTATGCGTTCATACAGGTGCAGAACTCTATATAGAGTGGCTTCTGTGTATAATCCATTTACTGGGAATGAACGAATAGGAGGAAAAAAGGGAGACTTACCTAATACATCTCTCCTTGCTGTTTTAAGCAGTAGCCAGAACCAGGACTTACCCTTCTTCACAGCTGTAGACCACTGTTGACCCAAACAGGAGGTCTGTTAGGAAAATAATTTTCCCATTCACAGGTTCACCAGGATGACTGCATTGTTTCCCTGGGGGAGGAAAAAACCTCATTTTAGGCTTCTCTCTGTCTATCCCATGGTACAACAGATGCAACTATTACTCCAGTAATCTGTCCACATTTCCAGTTACCCCCAAACCAGGTTTCGAATCGTATAAAATTACATGGCTTTACTAGTCACATACTATTTGAACACCAGAATAAGGTTAAGGTTTTTGCAGCATGGACAGAACCTAATGCCTATTCCTTCTTGAATAATGGACACCAAATCAAGGAGCTATTCACTTTTACAGAACTCTAGTGCTTCGGACCACACTCCGCTCTCAAGGCATGTAATAGTAGGTGACATTCCTGGCTGTTTAGCATATCCAGGTAGGCAAGTGTATTGCACAGTCTTCCCAACAGAAAAATCAATCTCATTTTTATGCTCCTCATTTAGCTCAGCAAAGTGTAACCTTGTAGGAGCACCACAACCACCTATTGAGAAAGAAGAGAGACATGAGAATCAGGCAGGACAGGCATGCTGGGTGCAAGCAGAGAAAGAACACTTTTACAAGGAAAGGTGTTCGGTTAGCCTTGCAAAATTGTTTATTTTAATTAATATAGCCGTTATTAAACAAACACAACATATTTTCCCAAAGGATTCCAGAGGATCAGGTTCTTATTCCCAGGATACATTTCAATCTTCCACTCACAGGGTTGAACCATATTTTTTAATGGAGTTAGGGGACACAAAATAGTAGTGTACCCCAGGGCAGCTACGTCACTATTTACCTGGAAGTTCAGGCCTGTTGGAGAGCTCCTGGTAGTGGTACAGCCTGTCACAGACGGGAACAGGAGGGTGCCAGCTGCCATCCTCCTGGCAGAAGATTTTAGCACTGCCTTGCAGGCTGTAACCATTGTGACACTGAAATGTCACCATTTGCCCAGGTGCAGAGATAAGTCCTTGACCATCGACTTGCCTTCCATTCTCTATATCTGGATTTATGCAGATGGTCACTGGAAATGATAATGTACAGAAGTGATGTGCAAGAGTCAGAACAAAGCAAAACAAAAACCCCACATGCTGTTAATGTTGCAACAACAAAACCTATGTGGCACCTACATAAACCTCCCCAGCCCCACCTCCACAATAGAAGGGCTTGAAATTAATTCATACCATGCATCACCTTACAAGGGATTACACGGGATTAACCTTCTCTGAGGATCTGGTTGCAATGGTCAGGGTCTCCCCTGTGCTCAGAGCCGCACTACGAGCTTCTCGCCTGAAGGGACAGACCACAGACGCACCTTCACAGCGAGCGCCTGGCTGGCTCCAGTTCCCAGACGCCCTGCAAAATGCAACGGCATTTCCAACCAGGTAGTAGCCAGGATTGCAGGTGTATGTTACAGACATTCCCATGGTAAAAAAGGATTTGCCCTGGCCATTGTGATTTCCGTTGCGGACCTCCGGAGGCATGGGGCATGGTCGGACTGCAAGAGGGAGACAGAAAGTCTTAACTCAGTGAGAGAACAGCATGCAAGGGGCAGGGAGTCGGCGTGATGCTGCGTCGATGGGTTAAAGCCCATCACAGGAATGGCTCAGCCTGCACACGCTGGTCGCCTGCAAGGAGCACCCGCCGGGCAGGGCTGCCCTCGGGGAAGCAGCGGGCACCCACACTCACCCTTCTCACAGATGAGCGCCGGCGGATCCCAGGTGCCCCCCGGCTGGCACTGAGCCTCGTAGGTGTCCTCTGCAGCGTAACCGGCATTGCAGCCAAAGTGAAGAGTCTCTCCAGCTTTGTAGGTGCTTTGCATCCCATGGACCTCCCCATTCTGCACCTTGGGTACCTTGCAGCCGATTGCTGCAGGGAAGATGGACAGCATCCTTTAACCTTCAATCCATGGGCCAGATCCTGCACACACAGCCCATCCCTTCTCATCAATGCCATAAACCTGTCTGCACTGTTCCTGCAACCAGGACATCCAGCATCCTCTCTGCTGAGCCCTCACACCTAGCAAGGAAGCATCTACCCACCTTTGCAGAGGGGCACGGGCCTGCTCCACACCCCAGTCTCCATGCAGTTGATGGACACGTTCCCGACCAGCTCGTAGCCATCCTTGCAGCTGTAGTACACGGTCGCTCTCTGGGAAAACCTGTGCAAGGACTCTCCGCTGTGCTGCCCGTTGGCGATGTTTGGTGGCCGAGGACACATCAGCTCTGGAGAGGGAAAAGAAATCACCGTGTGGGTCAGCTGTTTGCTGTTTTGTGTGCTACTAGGACTGTTTGGGTAATATCAGAGTAATATCCTGAATTCTGCTCAGTCTTTGTTCCATTTGCTGGACCAAAGTATTAGTTAACAACAGGTACAGCAGCACCAAGATTACAATTGCATTGCGGCTGGAGGAAATTACTAATAATAAGGACAGTCCTGACAGGAGAACTCACAGGCACATCATGGGATTTGGCAAAAGATGCACGTGGACATGGAAGCAGCAAAAGCAGCAAGAAGTTGTGATTACTTCCCATTCCAGAAGGAAGATGAAAATGTCCCACATCTGACCAGAAGCAGCGTCACAAAAATCCCCCTGGGGCAGCAGATACGGCCATTCCCGCAGCTCGCCTGCGGCTCCTGAGCGTGCTGGGGAGGTTACAGCCTCCTGCTGCACAGCAGCTCAGCCCCAGGGTCAACTTTTCCCCATGGCTCTTGGGGCCCAAGACAGGGCGGGCTGCAGCCAGCCCCATGTCCCACCCCAGCTCCTTTCTTCTGAGCTGTTTCTGCCTCTCTGAGAGCCAAGCTGGCAGGACTTTGGTTTGAGAAGAGAAGTGAGGACGACAGATGCATCCTGGCTTTGCTTTCCCACTGAATTTGAGAGGACACAAGAGGGAGCTTTCCCCTGCGGCTGTCACCGCTCGCTCCGCGCGCTGGGACACTTGCCTTTTTTGCACACTGGCAGAGGTGGGCTCCATCTGAAGTTAGCTTGGCACGTGCTTGTGTGGGAGCCCTGCAAGGTATACCCTTTGTTGCACACAAAGCTTACGGTGTCCCCGGTCCTGTACACATAGCGAGCAATGGATACTATCCTCCCATACCGGACACGTGGGAACAGGCATTGGGTAGCTGGAAAAGGGAAAGAAATAAAATGTTGTTTACCCACGCAGCTCTCAAGCTGTTCCTGCTTGTGATGGCTGCCGCGTTGATGGTGTCCATGCAGCCTGTTGATCCCTGAGTGATGGGACGCGGCGGAGGCCGCAGCCGGGGCGAGTGCCCCCGGGGCTGCGGGGCTCCTCCCTGCGCCGCCAGGGGACCCCGCTGCTTCCTCAGCTGGCAAGACCTGGGCGTCCAGGATCCCACGTCAATCGCCTGGTGAGGTCAAAGCCTTTCATGGCCTTTCTGCATGCTTCTAACCCACGGGCTGGGACGCACACCCCCTGGGTCCGATCCAACCCGGGAAAATGCTGGCAGGACCCTCCAGGGCCAACCGAACTGCACTGCAGGGGTCTGCACTACCAGGGGCACGCAGCCGTGTGAGCAAGCCGGGCAGGGGCTGGGCAGCGGG